ATCTCTAAGTGATGATTACTCAAAGGTGTGTTATCGCAGGAGATTTGTTGCTCTTTTTAAAGTCTTTGTTTCACAGATAGTTATGCTTGAAGAGGATCGTTTCCTTGAAATGCACGCCGCTTTTGGAAGATATTTTCGAATGCGAATGCCTCGATATGGTCGCGATATGGCGTTTTCGTTGGAACGTAGCGATCTTTACCTTGTTGGTGCTAGGTGAGCCAACTCTTGTCAAGTCTCTTTCTCAAATAACTTGATCATTATAGTAGCGAAGTGTATCGTTTGAATTTGGAGTTAGGTGAATGGCTATCGCCGCTTCAGACCAACGGCACCGCATCGAACTGCTGCCAGTTTGCCGATGCTCACCAGCTTTTCGTGTGTGGTAATGTCACATTTGTATGTGCATTGCAGCATCATACTCTTATTTATGACTGCCTTCAATAAACTATAGGAACCAGTGACGGTCAAGTAGAAGCATGGGATCACCGAGATAAGTCGAGAGTTGGTATTTTAGACTGTTTACTTCCTTTGAACGAAGGCGGGTTAGTATCTACAATTTCTTATTTACGCGCTCTTTTTTTTTTTGAAGACTTTTGTGGGTTTTCTTCAGTCGTAATACTAATTTTTATATAGGTTGCTTTTTAGTCGAAATATTGAAATCACAGCTTTGAGCTTTCGAGATGCTCTGCGGTTGGGAGTTGGAACCAGTACTGGCCAGGTAACTTTTAATAAGAAGAATTAAGTTTAGCTTATCCAATCATGTTGAAAGCAGTGCTCAGAAGATTTCCACTTTTTATTTTTGAGCATTTGCTAGCCTCCTTTTCCGTATGTCTTGAAGAGAATAAATTTGCTTATTTCAAAACTGCCAATATGTCAAGATGTCTGTCTTGATGAGCATTTTACGAAACTTTATGGGTTACCCTGGATTTGTGCGTGGTTTTCCGTCCCCAAAGTTTTAATCGCAACTAGCATTCTTGACAGTTTGTCTTAGTAATGGCTAAGAGTAAGATATATAGAGTGTATGAAAGTAC